AGGTAGACCTAGGAAAACTTGGGCTTATTGTATTAAAACTGATCTTAATTTACTAGAACTAAATGAAAATATGACACTAAATAGGACGCAATGGAGAAAAAGGATTCATGTAGCCGACCCTACGTAGTGGGATTAAGGCTTTGTTGTTGTTGTTGTTGTTGTTGGGGAGGTTAGATATTTAATTTTATTTTTTGTGGTGAATAAAAATAAAATAAAATACATGGAATCTTTATTCTCCACTCAGGGACTTTTTTTTTTGTTTTTTATTTAGTTTTTATAATTTTTTTTGAAGATTTAGATACATACTACTCATTTCTTATGTATTCACATAGCTAACACCTGAAGAAATATTACGTACATATGAACCTACGTATGTCCACCGTATGGATGAGTGAAAAATAAAAAAATCACGGATACCTCCCCTATATATCACTGTTATTGAGCATACATGCATCAATCTTATATAATATTTACTCCTAGTACCTCAACTTCAACGTTTACATGCCGTGTCTATGCATGAAAAGCCTTTTAAAAGTTGAACTGGCTATGTTTTTTGTCATGTGATATGAAATTTTCTGGTGATATCAATGTGGAAGATAAAGTCTAGGTGCTGTGCATGGACATAGACAGGAATTGGGTGCTATGCTTGTAGATTCCCCCTTTACACATGAAGAAGTGTTCACACGAATCTCAAAGAAGATGGGCAACTTTGGAAGGAAGTACAACCGATCAGACATAGTAATAGAAGATCGTTTTGGATGAGCATTAACGGAGAATACACTTTAGTCGAGCATTCAACAAAAGATGACAGGAAGTCCTTCTGAACATCAACCTTCAGAACGATCGATGAGAGGGGACTCCTTCAGACCATGAATCGATCAAACGAAGACCTGTCAGACGATCAATATCTCTTATCAATCAAATAGATCCCGGGTCTCATTATATATAAATAACCATATAAATTACAAAAAAATATCCACCCAGAGTTATTATGTAGGTTTCTAATATTGAGACATAGGCCTATAAATTGGGGTCCATATTATGAATAAGGGAGAATATTTTATTTGTCTGCTGCGGCTCCTTCGTGATATCAATGTGGAAGATAAAGTCTAGGTGTTGTGCATGGACATAGACAGGAATTGGGTGCTATGCTTGTAGATTCCCCCTTTACACATGAAGAAGTGTCCACACGAATCTCAAAGCAGATGAACAACTTAGGAAGGAAGTACAACCGATCAGACATAGTAATAGACGATTGTTTTGGATGAGCATTGTCGGAGAATGCACTTTAGTCGAGCGATCGACAAAAGATGACAGGAAGTCCTTTAGGATGAACATCAACCTTTAGAACGATCGATGAGAGGGGACTTTCAGACCATGAATCGATCAAACCAAGACCTGTTAGACAATCAATATCTCTTATCAATCAAATAGATCCCGTGTCTCATTATATATAAATAACCATATAAATTACAAAAAATTATCCACCCAGAGTTATTATGTACGTTTATAATATTGAGACATAGACCTATAAATTGTGGTCCATATTATGAATAAGGGAGAGTATTTTATTTGTCTGCTGCAGCTCCTTTACTCTCTCTCTTTTAATTTCCTCCTAATGGAACGTTTCATTCCTTGGGTTTATAATCCCAACAATCTGGTATTCAACACCCCTTTTTTGTTTAAATTTGCTTATATCCTTTGATGAGCTTAAGAACAAAATAATAACATATTTCTTTGTTAAAATTTGCTTCAAACTCTTCAGATAGATTATTAAACGGAGTTGAATTGAGATTTTGAATAACATTAAACATTATTTTCAATTTCCAACAGGTTTCGCAAGCGCCGTCCGGTTGCTACCTTCAATTGGAGAGCAGTGGGGAGCTCAGCTTGAAAAATGGGGCGCAGAGGCTTTGGAGCAGCAATAAGAGAACGGACAGTGGGAAGCACGTCGCTGTACTGCGCTTCGATGGGAGGCTGGCGGTTTATGGACCGTTGGTGTGGGCTAATGTTAGAATGGATGATTTGTGCTAAATAATTATAAAGATATCTCTATATATATATATATATATATATATATATGGGGAATGGGTTTTTGATCAGTTTGTCGTTTTTTATTTTGATTTTGCAGTGGCTTATGTATAGTGTTCTGCATGAATAAGTCTAAAGCGGGTGTAACTTAAAATAGGATATATGAGAGAAAACAATAGGGTTGAGAAATTTCCTTATGATTATAATGGGTTGAAAATAAATTGATGGAAAATAAATTGATGGAATGATGATCAGTTGAGTTAGATGTCGAAAGTAGGTCATTTACATGTAAAAACTCCTTATTTGTTATGTGTAATATGTATTATATAAATCTACTATAAGGGAGGTTGAGATGAATTTTCTATTATGTACCTCGTATCTCTTCTTTGCATTTTCTTCTAAAATATATTTTCTTACTTTCTATATTTTGCTCTCTTCTTTAGATCATTTACTTTGATAATGCAAGTTTTCTATTGTTTGCTATGAAATTGTATGTAGGATTTTAAGCTTAAGAACTATAAATGTACTCACATTTGTTTTGTATTCTTTCTCCATCTCATCATATCAATAAAATAATAATAATATAGTAGTATGCAAATCCTTTTTTATTCTGATACACACTTCGACATATACATGCTATCTTATACTCCATTTAGATGGGCACCATTGGAATCAACTTAAGTCTTAAAGGTCGACAAATTATTAAATTTATTTTAGGATTTCGACAAAGAAATCTTTTTAGGGGGG